TGGGCCACACCATCCTGGGCATGAACACTGTGCAGCTGTACATGAAGGTCCCCGGTAGCCGAACACCAGGTGCATACCTTGCTGGGAGCACATCTCTGGGAAATGCTGGAGAGGAGGGCTGGGGGTAATGCTGAGGCAGCAAAGGCTTGAGTATTCTAGAAGGCAAAGTCCATAGGCTCTGATCCTGCCAGCTATGTTGTTCTCTGTTACCACCTGCAGGCCACCAAGAGAACAACAATTTCTGCTCTGTCAATATTAACATTGGCCCAGGAGACTGTGAATGGTTTGCAGTGCATGAGCACTACTGGGAGACCATCAGCGCCTTCTGTGATCGGTGTGCATTGTCTCTTTGCTAGTTACCCATCCCAGCCCCATCCTTGGGTCTCCCAAGATTCCCACCCAACCCTGTGGCTTCCTACCCTCCAGGCACGGTGTGGACTACTTGACAGGTTCCTGGTGGCCAATCCTGGATGACCTCTATGCTTCCAATATACCTGTATACCGCTTTGTGCAGCGCCCAGGAGACCTTGTGTGGATTAATGCGGGGACTGTGCACTGGGTGCAGGCCACTGGCTGGTGCAACAACATTGCCTGGAATGTGGGACCCCTCACTGGTAAGTGTGGGGCCAGGTCACGGTGTAGTGAGGGGGTGGGGCCCTGCAGAGTGAGCCCTTTGTGGGAGGAGTGGGCTTGGAGGGTGGCCGGCTGTGCTGGAAGGGGCTTGGACCCAGCTGGCTGGGGCCTGTTTGAGAATCCTTGTAGTGATTCCCTCTGGCCCGCAGCCTATCAGTACCAGCTGGCCCTGGAACGATATGAGTGGAACGAGGTGAAGAACGTCAAATCCATCGTGCCCATGATTCATGTGTCCTGGAATGTGGCTCGAACAGTCAAAATCAGCGACCCCGACTTATTCAAGATGATCAAGTGAGGGTCCTTCTAGGGGGATTTCACCTTCACCTGACCTGCTCTGCCTTTGTTCATCCTGTATGACTCTACCCTATTCTTCACCTCTCTATGTCTGCCACGTGCCCACAGTATAAACTGTGTTGGGGAAGCTGACAATTTCTGCTCTCAGAACCTTTATTTTTCAGTGGTCTATATAGATAAAAACCACTTGAAATTTACAGATGCCTAGATAGGGGATGTGACCCAGGCGTGAGGAAGCCCCACTGAGGGGAGGTGTTATGGTACTGCCTGCAATCTTAAGGGCTGAATCCCAACCCCCACCTGCCCCTGTTCTGCCCCTGACCCATCCACACTGCAGCAGCTTCTCCTCTACAGCCCCTCCCGCCTCCTTGCAGGTTTTGCCTCCTGCAGTCCATGAAGCACTGCCAGGTACAACGGGAGAGCCTAGTGCGGGCAGGGAAGAAAATCGCTTACCAGGGCCGAGTCAAGGACGAACCTGCCTACTACTGCAATGAGTGCGACGTAAGTGCACCTATCCTCCCTGGGTCCTGCTGGAGAAGTATTCTTAGTAGTCTGCTCTCCTGGTAACCATTCCTTCCTTTCCTCCAGGTGGAGGTGTTCAATATCTTGTTCGTGACAAGTGAGAACGGCAGCCGCAACACATACCTGGTGCACTGTGAGGGATGTGCGCGGCGCCGCAGCGCAGGCTTGCAGGGTGTGGTGGTGCTGGAGCAGTACCGCACTGAGGAGCTGGCCCAGGCCTACGACGCTTTCACGCTGGTGAGGGCCAGGGCCTCGGGCGAGGGGCTCCGGAG